GGGCGACACAGATCAGAAGGACTATAATCTGGTGACGGAGGTTGGAAGGACAATAGTCGGCGGGCGATAGAGGTTAGAAGGGCCATAGTCGGTAGGTGACGGAAGTATGAAGGACCATAATTTGGCGATGGAGGTCAGAATGACCATAATTTGGCGACGGAGGTCGTAAGGACCGTAACCGGTGGGTGACGGAGATCAGAAGGATTTTTGGTGGCCTGGTGTAAGTTTGACGACAATTGGTGACCGGGTAGAAGTTCACCTAGGGATGATGGTCGGGCAGAAATATAACGACGGACAGAAGTTTAATATTGGGTAGAAGTCAGACAAAAGTTTCAAGTGTCAATTGGTTGTCCGATAGAAGTCTGACGTCAGTCGGTGGTCTGACAGAAGTCTAATAGTTAGTTGGTGATTCGACAGAAGTCTGGTGTCAGGCGGCGGCCCGACGGAAGTTTGATCAGTGGTCGAGGAGGAGCTAGGTGGCAAGAACGATCTCTAATCTCTCTTCTCGCTTCCTTTCTTAGGCCTCCCTTTCCATGAGAAGTGAGGGGTCTATTTATTGATTTCTGAGAGTGGAATGACCCGTAATTAGGAGGAAGATCAAGGGTAAATTGTGAGTGGTTTTGATGGACAACCGATGTTGAATCCCTTGATCGTTGATTGTTTATTAGGCATTTAAATATCTTAATGATATCAAAATTTGGCGATCTTGGGCTCGTTGGATTTGCCTTGTCAAGCTGCTCAATTTGAATATAAGCATGTCATGTTTGGAAACTGTTTGGTAATCCAAATTATGTTTGAACCTTCCAAATGTTCTTTGGGTCTTTGATTTGGACCCATTTAGGCTTGGATTGAGTCGAATTTGGTGTCGTTGGGTTCATATTTTCGAGACGATCATTTTTATTAGTAGACAAATAACTTGTAATAAATAAAAACAAATAATGAGGTGTCTCACTGTCATTGTTTAGCTATCTTGTCTCTCATTCGTTAGCTATCTTATCTCTGTTAAGTAAAGTCTATATATAATAGGTATTGCTTGTAACCTGAAACTCATATAATAAAAGTTTTCTCTACCGTCTTGTCCAACTCTCTGTCTCTTGTTCACTGTTGCATTTCAGATCTTGCCAAACAAGATCTCTTGCATTTCTTCATGGTATCAAAGCAGGAGATCAAGTAAGGTGAAGATGATGAACACAACTTCTTCCCAAACCGACGAATATGAGGAATCGATGACTCAAGATACGCTGGCTCTATCTTCTACCTTGAAATTCGTTGTTTCTAATCTCAAATCCATTGTGCAAATCCAACTTACATCTGAAAATTACTCTATATGAAGATGACAAATCACCAAGGTTCTCCGGGCAAATGGTTTTTATTCTTTTCTTGACTCAAATATCCCAAAACCCACTCATTTTCTTGTTTAAATTGACAGCTCTTCCACATCTAATCCTGATTTTTTGCAATGGCTTCTCACGGACCAAAATCTGTCTGCCGCCATTTGTTCTACGATCTCCTCCCCAATTCTTCCATACATCATCCATCTTGATTCCACCTCTGAAATATGGATTACACTTGAAAGTCATTTTCAATCTACAAATCATTCTAATGTTATTCAACTAAAGAACAAATTACACCATATTTCTCTCAAAAACTCTACCATGACTCAATACCTAGATGAAATCAAATCTTTGGTTGATAACATAGCCTCAGCGGGTTCCAAGGTGGATACCGAAGACATTATTCTGTATATTCTTAATGTTCTTCCCCTATCTTATCAATATTTTAAAACAGCCATTAGAACTATGTTAACCCTCATTAGCCTCGACAATCTTTATGCTCTTCTTCTTAGCGAAGAAGTCAATCTCGCTTGTAATATGTCTCGCCTTTCATCTGTACCTGACCTAAACGTAGATTTAGTTTCTAACTGTGGTCGTGGTCGCCGCAATAGAGGCTGTGTTTTTCAAAGTTTCAACAATTCAACTCACCCCACATCGAATGCCTCCATCATTTGTCAATTTTTTTTCAAGAAAGGTCATGTGGCTCCAAATTGTTGGCATCATCTCAATCCCTAATATATTCCCAAATATTTAAATAATTCCAACATGGTGCTTGCTGCCAGCAATGCAACATCATCCACGGACTGGTTTCTTAATTCAGGAGCATCTTTACATCTCACTAACTCACTTGAAAATCTTAATGTTTCCTCTCCGTATCATGGTCTGGAAGGTATCATCATTGGAGACGACAGATATGTAAGTATAGCTAATTCCGGTGCAAGTTTGCTACTAACACCCGCTCGTAAGCTTACTCTCTCTCAACTTTTTCATACTCCTAATCTTAAATACAATTTGTTATCCATATTGCAAGTTACTAAATACAACAGTATTTCTATTACTTTTGATTCTAATGGATTTGTTTTGAAGGATCTGATGACACAAGAAGTGCTTCTTCGAGGACCGTGTAGCAATGATCTTTATCCCGTTAGGACTACTACTGAGTTTTTGCATCAAGCGTACTCCGCAACTACTTCATCCTCCTTCTCCTGGCACAACAGACTGGGGTATCCAAATAAAAATATCTTACATGTTATTATTGTTTCTAATCCCAATTTGCATATAGATCTTAAAAATAATCCTTGTAATCTTTCAAAAGCTCATAAACTTCCTTTTGAACAATCGTTAACTCGCAAGAACTCAGTTTTAGAGCTTGTACATTATGATATTTGGGGTCCTGTGCCTGTTGTTTAAACATATGATTTTCAATATTATGTTATTTTTGTTTGTGACTTTACTAGATTTACGTGAATTTACCCTATGAGATTTAAATCTGAGGTTGCTGAAATTTTCACTCGCTTCGAAACTCAGATTGAAAAATACACATCTAAACAAATAAAGTGTTTACGTACTTATGGCGGGTGATAATATATTAGTCATACGTTCACTCACTTTCTTCAAAGTCATGGTATCTCTCACCAAATATCATGCCCTTACAACCCTGAACAAAATGGGATAGCCGAATGAAAACATGGACATATAATTGAAATAACTCGCTCTCTTCTTCACACTGCTCATGTTTCTTACATTCACTGGCCCGATGCTATTTTGACAATAGTCTATCTTATAAATCGTAGCCATCCACCAATACCAAAAATGTCTCTCATTTTGAACTTTTACACCACATAAAACCCATTTATACTCACTTATGTACCTTTGGGTGTGCATTTTTTCCTCTTACACCTCTGCCTGCTCGTCATAAACTTCAACCAAAATCTAAACTTTGTGTATTTCTTGGATACTCCGATACTCACAAAAGGATACAAGTTCATAGATATATCTTCAAAGAAGATCATTATCTCTGGACACATTACTTTTGACGAGCACCAATTTATGTTTTCACAAAAACTTTCGGATAACTCAACTTTGCCTGACACTACCTTGCCTTTTCTGCTAACTCATGTTTCTGCTCATAACCCGCAACACACACAAATTCAGCCCAACCATAAATCTGCTGATGTTTCATCTCAACGTACCATAAATACTCAATTGCCTCAGCACTCTCCGAGCACTTCTCCTTCAGCTTACACTCTTTCATCTCTTTCTCAGCCCAATATAATTCGGCACCCCATGATCACTAGACAGCAAATTGGTTCATTAAAGCCTATCATGATATTAAACCTGCTTCATCAGCAACTCCCAAAGCCTATTCAACCTGACCCAGGAAGCCATTAAACATATTGAATGGCGTCAAGCTTTAGTCGATGAATTCATTGCTTTACAAAAAACAAGGGACCTGGAGTCTCGTTCCTCCACCTAAGTCTTTCGTCCTTGACTGTAAATGGACCTACCTTACTAAATTCCAAGCTGATGGATATGTAGCTAAATATAAAGCTCATCTAGTGGCGTTGGGAAACAATTAAGAATTTGGTCTTGATTATACAGAAACATTTAGCCCCGTGGCTAAATTACATACTATTGATATACTTCTTACAATTGTTTTGCATAATGATTTGCAGGTTCAATAACCTAGGTTGACCTGATCAACAAGGTTGACCCAGGAATGGGTCTGAGCTCAAGAGACTTGGTCTGACCCATGGAACCCAAAGAAGGTTTTCTTGAGGCCTGGCTTAGTCAATTTGACCAGGTCAACCTCTTGACCCAAGTGTTTGACAAATTCAAGGTCAACATGTAGCTCGATTATCTACTGAATCCGAATACCATGCCTTAGCCGCTCTAACTGCCGACGTCATATGGCTTCTTAAACTACATGACGAATTTCAAGTCCCTCAAAATCAACCAACTGACATATATTGCGATAATACATTAGTTACCGCCTTGGCCAACAACCCGATTTTCCACGCTCATACAAAACACATCAAAATCGATCAAAGATTTGTTCGAAATCATATACAACACAAGAGCATTCATATTCTACCCATTAACACCTTGGATCAAGTAGCTGATATATTCACAAAATCTTTATCTACTCCAAGATTTCAATCATTACGGCTCAAACTGATAATTCCCCAGAACCCATCAGTTTGCGGGGGACTATTAGTAGATAAATACCATATAATAAATAAAAACAAACAATAAGGTGTCTCACTCTCATTGTTTAGCTATCTTGTCTCTATTAAGTAAAGTCTATATATAATAGGTATTGCTTGTAACCTGAAACTCATATAATAAAAGTTTTCTCTACCGTCTCTCGTCCCACTCTCTATCTCTCGTTCAACGTTGCATTCCAGATCTTGCCAAACAAGATCTCTTGCATTTCTTCAATTTTGACTATAAGTTTGTTGATATCAGAATTCAAATGGTCCCGATTTTAATTTCATAAGTTCCCAACTTGATTTTGCCTCGATTCATGCCGGATCAAGATAATTTTTTGATGATATATCAATAATATATATGTAAATCATTCTAAAGTAAATTTCTTAATTTTTGTTAAATTAGATCCTATTTTTATTTAAGTTAGATTAAAAATATCACTAATGTATGTAAATCACCTTTCAAAACCTTCTACCTGTATCGAACTAACAACCCGCTCCTAGTTCCTTCTCACACGGAGAAATGGCGGAGCAACGAGAAGAGATGGCGGAGCATCAACATTCTCTCCAGGCAAGCTCCGTCCCCGCATCCATTTCCTCTTACTCTTCACCAGCAACCGTAGCTACAGCCGGCATACCATTGCCATCAGAAACGTTCTGCCGATCATGCGGCGGCCCAACCACCGATGCAGCTTCAATCTCTTTGCCTCCTCAGTGGTCTGACTCGTCACCGCCGCCAGCGTACCGTCCGATCCGCGCTCCGGCAATTAACGCCCCAAAAAATACCAACGCCATCGTCCTCGCTCCTGTCCCTCGACCACTCCCAGTTCCAGTTGCGGAGCCTCCCTTCCATTTTGAGGTCCCGTCGAAGCGCATCTTCTCCTCCGACGACATCCAGCGTTTTCACGCCTCCGCCGCCTGCCGCCATTTTCTAGGATTCGTGGCTGCCCTGTCCGACTCAGTTCGCGGCCGCAAAATCCACGATCCCGTTTTACCTCTATCCCCCGCTCTCTCCTCCCTTCTCTCCTTAATTGAAACCCTAGACAAATGGATCGAAGAGATCCCGCCACTCCCCCATTCATCTCGTTATGGAAACCCAGCTTACCGCTCCTGGCACGACAAGCTGTCCAATGAGGGCATCTCCCTGATCCTTCCTCTCCTAATCTCGGATGTGCTCCGCCCTGCCGCTGATGAGCTCCTTCCTTATCTCCTTGATTCATTCGGCAACGCCTCCCGTATAGATTATGGTACTGGTCACGAGACTAATTTTGCTGCTTTCCTCTATTGCCTGGCGCGCCTTGGGCTCATAAAGGAGGAGGACTGTCCCGCCTTGGTAACTCGCGTGTTTGTTGCATACCTGAATCTGATGAGGAGGTTGCAAACTATGTACTGCCTTGAGCCTGCCGGCTCCCATGGGGTGTGGGGTTTGGATGACTACCACTTCCTTCCGTTCATCTTTGGATCGGCGCAGCTAATTGATCATAAATATATGAAACCTAGGTCGATACATAATCCAGATATATTGGATAATTTCTCAAATGAGTATATGTATCTGGCTTGCGTGGCTTTCGTGAGGAAGGTGAAGAAGGGGGCGTTTGGAGAGCACTCGCCCATGCTCGATGATATCAGTGGTGTGCCCACTTGGACCAAAGTCAACAGTGGCCTGCTCAAGATGTACAAGGCAGAGGTGCTGGAAAAGGTGCCCATAATGCAGCATTTTCTTTTCGGATCACTTATCAAATGGTATGATTCACTGCCTTATATATATTTTTTGAATCGGTTATGTGTGATGTTGCTCATGATTTTAAATTTGGTAAAATTCAAGTTAGTGCTATTTGCATGAGGAGAATTTTACTTTTCATGTTTATGGCTGCAAACTTGATTTTTGCATTTGATCTTTGATCAAGCAACGAAAAAATTAGGAAGTTTATTATAGTATAAGTGGATCTAGTAAGTCCCTTAAGGAAGTGTAACATACAAAACAACTTTCATATATGTATGTTGTGAGATTGAACCATTGAACATGACCTTGTAAGAGTCATGGTGAAGGTCCACCACCATGATCATCATTATCATTAGCTCCATACCAACTAGTATATGTTGGATTTATGAATACTTGTTCTCCATTCATTTCTTCTGAGTGTTGTATAGGTGTTAAAAAACTATTTTGCATAAATTTGTATGCCCTTCTATCTATAACACCTTAGGTTGATCCAATATTTCTTCCTAATCATTCAACATTAATTTTATCTATCTTATTTATGCATTTTCTATCTTTTGTTATAAATGTTCAAATCACATGCCACCCTTTTTTGACCCAATCTTTAATAGATGCTATTCTCACTATCCTTCTAACAATTTCTTGACATATTATTATTTATTTTGTCACACATCCATCTCAAGATCTTCGTTTGTACCATATTCAATTTGTTTATTTTGTCACACATCCATCTCAAGGTTTTCATTTGTGCCATATTCAACTGGGATGTTAATGATTTATTTATATCCAACATTGATATTCATACAACCTATCATTGCCGGGTCCCAAGCACTCATCAATAACCAACGTAAAACTTATCGAACAATCATACATAAATCTTTTAATTAATTGAGATCCATACAACTTGTGTTATGAACACCCAAAGTGCAACATGAAGTGAAAAGGAGATTTTTTTTTTTTTTTACGAAGCAGAAAACATAGATGAAGCTCTTTAGTAAAATTATTAGAAGATTTATATCATATTCTATCAATTATTAATGACAAAGAGCTGTGCAAGATTGTAAGCAAGTTAAGCTTCAACTTGTAAAAGACCAAAGGTTAGATTAATACCTTCAATGAGTATTCATCAAGAATACCCGACATAAATAATTGATATGAAATTGTTGTACACTCAACAAATTATTACTCATATATCTGTGTAAATATTAAAGTACATATATACCAAATAACATAATCAAGCACTTAAGTAAGCTAAGGCTCTTAGCAAAATAAGTCATTATAAAAAAACAAACAAATATGTTTTGTCCCAAATTATCAATCACATGCAAATTTCTTCTTAAAAGCCCAATACTCCGAAGAACAAGAAAATAAAAAGTTGAAGCCATCATAAATAATGAGTTACTCAATCATCATTTCTTACTGCACCAACTTTTTCTTCACGACTGTCTTCATCATGTGAATTAATATAAGTGATGGCTTGGTTTAGTATTTTCTTTGATGTTATGTTATTTATAAGAGGTGGAGTTTGGCATTCTCTGTTATTTAGGTTGCTTAAAAACCTTTGGTAACCATGATTAAGATAATTTAAATTGTTTTCAAATTGGATGCCAATTTTAATGGTTTTAAAGCGAAGGATTAAAAAACAAGAAAGTTTTTAATCTCCATTAATTATTCTAAATAGGATTATATTCTTCGAGTAAAGAGGCCTTCAACTAAATACACTGTAGTTGATAGATGGTACTATTATTTGAATAACATTGTATTTTAGATAGCAATTTAATTTGCATGACATTGAACCAAATAACTCCTATGATTCATTATCTTTCAAATCACCTTCCTCTTTACGTACATCCATATTTGGTGTCTTTGATGCAAATTTTTTTTAAGATTGATTTGATGATTTTTTTTTTACCTTGAAATATTATGAAATTTTGTTTATCTTCTTTTAAACAAGAAGCCATGTCAAGCTCTTTCCATGTTAGATCATCATAAAAATGATAATCCCCAACATCATTCATAACCCCAATATGCTAATCAATATCACCATGTTATGGTTCTCCCTGAACCGACCAAACCAGCCCAGGTTGGGCTGCTTCACTTCTATAGGTGGCTTAGAAATTCTTGCCCAAGCATATGGGCCCCCCCTAGTGCGGCAAATAGAGAGAGGGAAGGGGGCGGCTAAAGCATAAGGAGGTTATTTTGAATTTGGTTTATTTTAGGAAGCTTTTATTAGGAAGATATGTTTTTAAAGAGCATAAGAGGTTAGGGTTAGGACATGCTTGATTATTGTTTCTCTTTGGTGTCTTGGGCTCTAGACTCATCATCTAGAGATTGGGAGAGAACGATCCTCCTCTCGAATTGAGGATCAATTTTATCTTTACTTTGTGCTTGCTTTGATTTGATTCCTATAATACAATTTATTATTTTGGATTGTTTTCACCGAAGTTCTCGAGTTTTTCTCGCTGTTTTTAACAATTATTGTTAGGTTTTCTTGCGAACTCAAGTATTTCCCATTAGGGTTACTTGCAAACTCAAGTATTTCCTATCACACCATCAATGTTTTCTAAGTTAATTGGGTCTATTACGCCCCACTTATCATGTCTATGCTTAAGAGCCTGATTGCACTTTACGTAGACAAGATCGTTCTACCTTTTATGTGCTAGCGTATTTCTCCTCTTAATATGAATCACACTCAAATTGTGTATAAAACCATAAGCAACTTGAAATAATAATCAGTCACTATATTCTGTATTCTTCCTCTTATCTTGTAATGACATGAATTGTTCAAGGGTACTTCAATTGTGCTCACATTTAGAAGTACAACAAGAGAAGATTAATACCCCTTTTGCCAACTTATGCAAATTAGTTGGTGATGCATCATGCATCTCCTACCAAGTAGCCAATTGTTTAGTGCGAAATAAGGGGGCATAATTTAGGTATCATATAATATAATGCATTAGTTTAATATTTTTAATTTTTAATTCATGGTGACTTCTTGTTTCTTCTTTTCATGATAATTTCATTTCCCAAAAGTCTTTGACATTATTATATTTTGCTAGCTCTTCATCAATATCCTTATGCTTTTTAACTCTTTTTATCAATGTGTTTATCACTTGATAAAGGCTATCTATAATTATTTTATTCGCCATGATCTTGGACTATTTTTTATATAAAATTTTGGATTGAATTAATACCCATCTTTATGGAGAATGTGATCTTTTGCTTTTTAGGGTTTGGAATTAATTGATTTTTTAGGGCTTGTAGTTAATATAGCAGTGTTCTTATATTTCTTAGGAACCCTATGTTTGAGTTTTTGAGAGAAGTAGATTGGTGTAGGATTTGCTATGGTTGATTAAGGATGGCAAACCCTATTTTGCCGAGAGCATACATAAGAATTTTAGGGAGGCTAGGATTTCCAAATGGAGAAATTAATGGGCTTGAAAATATTTGGAGATAGTAGAGAAATGTTTAAGGATTAATTTTGAGTCGAGATTACGTCCTTTAAACCTAGTTTAGTCTGACAACATATTGGACGATTTTAAACAACTAGGGTTATTAAATGAGAAGACCTTTGAACTTAAAACCGCTTGGAGATTGTCAAAGAATGTTTTTGGATTATATATGGGGCTTTTTTTTATAAATTTTCAAGGGATTTTGATAGGTTAAAAGAGAGAAAAATCAAGACTAGATCTTGTTAACCTATCAGAGGTTGGCCTTGATAAATAGGGCACATCTTTCATTTTTTTTCTAAGGTCAAGTTAGCGATCAACTATTGGATGTTATGGGAATTTAGGAGAAGATTAAGGTTGAGTTTATTCTTTCCATGTTAGATCATCATAAAAATCAGCATTTGGTCTAATTTTCTTAAGGATTTTAAATGGGCCACTAGCCCTTGCATGCAGTTTAGTGAAGATGAATGTATTCTTTCAAGTCTGATGCGAATCACTATATCATTGCCGTTATATTTTTTTTTGTAGATCTAGTTTTACTTATAGTTTCATCATACTAGTCTAATCCCCTAGGTGTTCTAGGTATACCCATAACAAAATTCATCAAAAGGTCCTCCTAGGGCCTATATTGTAAATGCAAAGCAATATATTTTTTCTGTTTTTTATTTAGTTGCTTTTGCCCACTTGCATGGGAAACACCCGAGAATAATCCTATCTACATCCCTTTTGGTAGAAGGCTAATAAAGTTTGCTCTCAACAGGATTGCTTCTTTGCTTGTCTTGTCGCTTCCTAAATATCTTACAATTCCTCTTGAATGAAACTCTAAATATCTTACAATTCCTCTTGAATGAAACTCTAAAATTAAAAAAAAAAAAAAACTCTGACTGATACCTTAGGGATACATAACTATCTAATTCTATACAAATATTCATCTAGCACAAAAAAGGGTTTCATAAAAGATAAGGGCATTTTTTTATGCAAATGATGTATTTGTGATATGGATATATGGGCATGAAAGATAAGTCTCCTTTAGTGTATCAAAATTTAAATCTGTAATTGAAAAGATATGATGGCCAAAGGTACTCTAGATTAAACATCTGCTGATGTATTCTCAACACCAAATTTTTGCTTGAGACAAAGGTGTAATCATGCAAAAACTCCACCACTTTACATGTCTATGACTTGACTTTTCTTTTAGTATATTGTTAAACCTAGGGATCTAATGATCTGAATGTAATTTGAATTTCATCTATAATGAATAGTGTCTACAATGCCTGAGAGACTGAATAATGGTATGGAATTTATTATCACATCTAGAATAATCTTGTCCAACATCATTCAAATTTTCACTAAATTAGACAGGTGATTTTTGTATTTAACATGCCTGTAATGCCTAATCTTAAGGCAGCACATGCAACCTTAAATGCATTTGTGAAATTAGGAAATCTCAATATAAGAAAAGTGGTCATAAATACCTTGATCTGATTAAATGTTTCTTGAGCACTAGTAGTCCATATAAATTTTCTTTACTTAGGATCCATGGTGCTAAGGTGCCTAATAAGCCTCTTGTATAA